GCCTGCCGGGCCGTGGGGAGACCCGCCGGGCGGGCGCCCTGCCCTCCCGGACGAAGCCCTTGCGGTGACGAAGCGGGGCTGCTGCCCTGCGGGTGCTGGCCGAGCTGAGCCCCCTGGCTGGCACGGGGGAGGCTGCCTGCGCCTCACAGCCAACCCTGCAGCAGCCCGGCCAAGTCCAACCTGCCTCGCGCCTTGGCGGCCTCAGCCTCAAGCACAGGATTCCTGTTACGCAGCTAAAAAACAGGTCATCCTCATCTAGTCTGGGAAGACGGTCCCTAAACGAGAGCCCTCAGCTCAGCATCTCCTCTGGGGCTCTCTCCGCCTCACCGCGGCTGGCCAGCCGCGCTTGCTGCTCTCCGCACGGGTGACTCACAGATGCCATTCAGCTTAATACATTGCCTCTGATCTCCCCAGCACTCCTGGGCTGTCTTGCTGGCTTCTTGCCTGCTCGTCCTTCCTGGAGCAGCACAGACTCCAAGGAGGAAGGCCAGCGGTTTTGTGCCCGCTACTGTTTTGTGGTAGAGAGGCTGCATTGCCATCCTGCCTGGTCCCTCCTCTGCTCACAGCCGGGGGAAGCTTGGCAGGGCAGAGGAAAGGCTGAGCACCTTCCCCTTCAGACAGCGCTGCTGTCCCCGTGCCAGGCACGGGCCGGCCTCCTGCTGCGCTCAGAGCCCACTGCCAGCTGCTGCGTGTCCCTTGAGGAGCCGAGTCCCCGGGCGGCTGCAGGCAGCGCTGCGGGGAGAGCAGGGAGGGCAGCGCGGCAGGCTGCGGCCCAAGGGCAGAGGGTGGCAGGGAGGGCCCCTGGGCAGCGGGCAGGGAGCATGGTGCTCACCGGCAGAGCCTGCGCACACAGTGTTTGTGCATTACGTCCTGCACCCGTTAGCTGGTGCTGCTGTCACAGCACCACACGTCCCACGGCGGGAACGCTGGAGTGTTGAGGGCTGTGCAGTGCAGGGGTGGCGGGGCAAGCCCACCATCCCAACACACAGTCAGGCAAGTCTGTGTGTGCTGTGGCCCTGGGGACACCACACTGGCAGCGTGGGCAACAGGCACAAAGTTGCAAATGCTCCTCTCCTCAATATCTCTTGTCCAACAGGGTCTGCCCACACTCCAGCCAGCCCCAGCAGCACCATGAGCTGGAGGGTAGAAGTTATTCCTCCTCCACCAACTGCTCTCCCCGTTGTAGCCCCATCAGCCTGGAGAGACCCACCAGCTCAGCTCCTGTCCTTTCGCTGTATTAGATCCCCATCTTTGGTGGAGCTGAGCCGCAGAGAGAGATTTTTGTCTTAAAACACCCTATCGTACAGAAACATCTGCAAGACCAACATTTGAAATGAATCCCATGGTCGCAGCACCCACAACGTTGGGCTTGGTGACTGAAAGAGCGAACGCCTCACGTGGGACTTTCAAACACAGGCTCCAGCCTCATGTGGACACAGCCCACGTTCCAGCTGCTGATCTGGAAAGCTGGCCCTGGTATCAGTGCCTGAATAGGAAGTGGCCAATTTAAGAGGAAGGTCCCTCAGGGCAGGAATGGGAGAGTAAGATGTGTCCCTGCTGTACGTGCACGTGTGAGACATCCTCCTGAAATACGTTCACTGCAAACATGCAGTTCAGCAAGCCTGATCTGAATCATGTGGATCCATACACACCTCTTCCTTCCCAGGTGCTTTACAGCAGCTTGGCTGCAGGCACTGCATTTGTCCAAAACAGAAACCATGGAGAGCATGAGTGGAAATGATATTAAGCCTCACCAGCAGTTCTCAGGTGCCCACAAGCTTGCTGTGTTTCAAGCAGCAGTGCCCAGGGAAGCAGAGCGCACAGCCGAGGCCCTGCCAGCCTGCTCAGGGAGCAGCCTGTCCCCAGCCCCTCTGCTGGCCACCACAAGACCATCTCAGCACCAGCTACTTCCCAGGTCCTCGCAGTTTGCTGTAGTCAGGCTGGGTGCACAAGGAGGGAGGCAGTCCTTCCCGGGACAGCAGTGGATCCCTGGCAAGGAGAGGATCTCGCACTTGCCATCTTGGCTAGACTTGGTCCCGAGTGATGCAGCTGGTGATAATTGACCTGAGAGAGCCCCAGCTGCAAGACACCCTGGGTCATGAGCATAACCGCCTCCGTGGTGACACAGGCAGTGATGGGGGGAGGCAGGAGAACCAGCCTGCGGCCTAAAGGAGTTTCCCATTGCCTTTAAGAGTCACCGATAAAACAGCAGGGAGGGAACCTTTATCCCCAAAGCTGGCCCATCTCTGGCTGAAGTACAGCAAGACAGGCAGGGCATGTGACAATGACGGGCAGTCCAGGCTGAAATGGGTTGGTATTTTTGCATGTGCTCTCCGTGGAGAGCAGATCTCTGCTTGTCCCTTTGCTCTGGCAAAGAAGAGACTCTGAGGTAGGGCTTGAAAATACTTGCAGCCAGCGACCTGGCAAGAGCTGGGATCAAGTAGGCACCCAGTCTCTGGCCACCTTCTGTAGAGGAGTCAGCAGTGGGCAGCCACCACATCTGTGAACAATCAGACATGCACATTCTCCCACATCCGTCAGCAGCACAGCAAGGAAAGAAAGCTGAGAGCTTGGCTGAAGAGTGCAGTTTGGCTGGCCAGCACTAGAGTGCAGGAAAGAGTCCCCGCTTCGCAACTTCCACTTTCAAGAAGAGCAGAGAGGCCAGCAGGGACCCTCCTGTCCCATCCTGTGCCTGTGGACAGTGAGTCCTGAGAGCGGAGCAGCAGGATGGCGAGTGCGGAGGAGAGCTTGAGCAGACCTACATGACCTGGGAAAACGAGAAAACAAACCCTGGAAAAAGTGCCAGTGTGAGAGGTTGGGAGAAACCTTGCAAGCCAGCCCTTTTTCCAAGGGACACAATATCCCATGTGAACCCAGGGGCCAGGTCTCCAGCAGCGTGTGCAACCCCAGACAGGGCTAGGAACAGCAACAGTCAAATGTCTGACTGCTGTTCTCCCAACACACCCCTTTGCTGGCAGCCCAGGGGAAAGCAACTGGTGTGAGGGGAGGATGGATGGGTGCTTCTCAGCCTGCTTGTAGCCCCCAAATCCTTCCATCAAGCAGCTGCTGCCAAGCAGCATGATTTCCTTCCCTTGCACCCCCATACATCCAAGGAAAGTAGAGGAGGAGGAGCTGGGAGCAAATGATAATTTTAAATTATAATAATAATAGAAAGAAAAGAAAGAAGCTTTCTAACTCACCTGCAGGTCAGAGCAGACCCCCCTGCTCCCAGTGTCACTCTGGTTGATGAGGTCTCTCCTGAGAGCTGGACACATCGAAGAGATGGGTACGTCATGCTGTGCCAGCTGCTGTAGCCTCTCTGGGGAAAAAGCTCCAGGAACTCTGTGCTTTGCCAGGTCTGCTAGGAATTTCAATGTCCTAAAGTCCCCGTTTTTCAATATCCTCAAGCTTTGGGCTTCAGGTTCCCCACACTGAAGCCATCCCTGGCCCACATGTTGCCTCTGCTCAGCAACAGCTCTACAGTCCAGCCTGCTCCGTTGCCCCCACGTGCTGGAGGGGCAAGCAGGGGCCTGGGAGCTCGCTGTGAGCTGAGGGAGGGCCTGGAGGTTGCCCTGGGTGTCTGCAGCAGGCAAGGGGCGTGAGGAGGAGGAAGCAGCTGTGGGAAAGATCCTACGGGAAGGAAGGAAGGGCCCCGCCAAGCCAGGAGAAAGGACGCAGGCACAGAGAAGGCACAGAGAAACACATGCATGGGGAAAATACCACATGGGAGGAAAGAGCAGAAGAGTGGGCAAGAGAGAGCATAGGCAGTGCATCTCTGGTTTCCATGCCCTGGCTCCTCCAGGCTTTCCTCCCCAAACACAGATGCTCTTACTTTAGGCAAGCTCACATCATCCCGTGCTCTCTCTGCTCCTCTGCAATCACCTCCTGGGCAGCATCTCCAGGCCAGAAGTTTTGGGCATTACCTGGTAGCTACAGTCGAAGAGGTTGCTGAGGAAGATGCAGTGCAGCCTTTGAGCTGCCATCGCCACAGAGTCCTGTATGGAGCTTGTTCTTCAGTCTGACTGCAGAAGGGGCACTGGGGCTCTCCTTGCATTTTCCAGTTGTACAGGGAAATGAATGGTGATCACCTGGACTGAATCCTGGTATTTGGGTGCTCCCTGCTACTCACGCTGTGGTCTGTGTGAGGCTGGAGTCCTGCTCCTGTGAAGAGACAAATCACCCCCCATGCAAATCCATGGGTAGCACAGGAGGAGGCTCATCAGGGACATGTGGGTTTTGAAACAAGTTACCAGTCTCTCCTTCTTGGCCTAAATGCCGGTTTCTGGAATATATAAGTCTGGAATATATAAGCATTTTACTTCCCACAGAAGCACGACTTTGGCCTAGGAAAACATGTTCTCCCCCTTTTCACAGAATCACAGAATGCTTAAGGTTGGAAGAGACCTCTAGAGATCATCTAGTCCAACCCAGCAGGGACACCTAGAGCACATGGCACAGGGTGGCATTCAGGTGGGTTTTGAAGATCTCCAGAGAAGGAGACTCCACAGCCTCTCTGGGCAGCCTGTTCCAGGGCTCTGTCACCCTCACAGGAAATAAGTTCTTCCTTATATGGAGGTGGAACTTCCTGTGTTTCAACTTACACCCGTTA